TTCAACGCAGCCAGGAACTTCAAATTCGCCTCCTGGGATCTGAGACATTGACGCCAACAGACGCATTGACGACGCCGAACAGTTGTTAAAAATTCTAACAATTCTACCTCTGATGTTGTCGGTTTCTGTGGTTCGCCATGCGCTGGTACAATTTTTTGAAAGATTCTGATTGATTTTGTCGCGACAGGTCCAAATGTTGTGGGACATTGTCGAAATTCGAAAACTTTCCACATTTTCCACCTCCTTTCTTCGTTCGCAAATAGGACCCAGATTCCCAGGCGATCCCGTTTTGAAGAATCTCTCCTTGTGTTCCCCCGTCATCTCGGTGCCGTGGAACATCCATCCGAAGTGCACCAGCGAAGCCACCGGGATCTCAGCTTCTTTCAAGGCACTCACCAAATCATCCGACAGCGTGTGCTGTTCTTTAGCGTCGTAGTACAGGGCCATCACGTCCTCATGTCAGTGCTGAATCAGGACGGGATGCGATCACAAAAAATTACTTTACTTCGTGTGATCCCCACCATGACATTTATACATGTTCTTACTGGCATATCTTCTGGCATTCTATCTGACATATCTTCTGACATTCTATTTGGCATTCTATCTGGCATATCTTCTGGCATTCTATCTGGCATTCTATCTGGCATATCTTCTGGCATATATTCTGACATATCTTCTGGCATTCTATCTGGCATTCTATCTGGCATTCTATCTGGCATATCTTCTGGAATATCTTCTGGCATATCTATCTGGCATATCTTCTGGCATATTTTCTGGCATTCTATCTGGCAAATCTTCCTACATGAGGTCCGGCAGGGAACACTTGGCGTGGATACTCGCAGTTGAGGTCCGGCAGGGAACACTGGGCGTGGATGGTCGTGGTTGAGGTCCGGCAGGGAACATTGGGCGTGGATGGTCGTGGTTGAGGTCCGGCAAGGAACACTGGGCGTGGATGGTCGTGGTTGAGGTCCGGCAGAGAACACTGTGGATCGCGGGTCGCAGTTGGACGAGGACGACGAGGACGACGAGGACGACAAGGACGACAAGGATGACAAGGAGGACGAGGAGGACGAGGAGGAGAGGAGGAGGAGGAGGACGAGGCAGGAGGAGGCAACTGACATAAAATCTAACAACCCTCACCTGGCAGGTGGGGAAAAAACGCTAATCTCCTGGTCAACTCTTTCAAGGAAAGAAAAACTCTAATTAATCATATTTAATCATTATGTTCAAATTGTTCAATAATCAATATGTTCATAGCTTCATATTATCTTCATTGATCATTTTCTTTGGTTACTTCCCAATCTTTATCCCTCAACCCATCCATGAACTCATCATCACATTGGCTCCTCCTTTACCGCACTGGCCGCTACAGGCCAACTGAGGATGCCATCGCTAATGAACAGCACTGTCTTCTCGGGTTTTTCGGTGGAAAACTTCCGGGCCTTCCACCGATTTGGATGGGGTTTATAGACCAACAAAAAAAACATCACCCAAGCATCACAAAATACATAGTATGAGGATAGCATCTCCAAAAACTATTTTGTGATGTTGAAAATGTTCAAAGTCAATGGGATTTAGGATATTTCAAGCATTCAACATGTAATTTTAAGAACCCTTGCCTTCAACTTGGGCTTTAACTCTTCAGCAGCTGCCTTCCACTTGCGCTCCTTGTGGATCTGGTCCAAGGTTTCCTCATGACCGAGGGTGATGGGTGGTGGTTTGACGGCTTCCGGACAGAAGATGAGATATCGGGAAAAGGTCCAAAAGTAGTTTGAGTCGGTCCAAAAATGGCTGCAACTTCCCGTGTCCTTGTTCCATGGAGCAGCAAAGCCTTTTGTGAACTTTTGTGTTTCCGTGATTGTCACAGGTTTCTATACTTGAACGATATTGTGATCGTCCAAACGGTTGTTCTTGGGAGATCCATAACAACAAATATTCCCAACAAAAAGAAAGTGTCGGATACGAGAATCGGATTTATCCAATCTGACCAATTTATGTGCCAAAATGGTGATCAGATCCAGAAAAAGTTTCATCTGAGTCGCATTGGTCACCTGCTTCACCGCTTCATCCAGCCGTTTCTTCTCTTCCTCCGACAAGTCTGTGATTTGGATCTCAGGTTCCGGTTCTTCCGGTTCTTTCTCTGCAGACGGTCCAGACGCACCCGAACCCATGGCGGGTTGGTGGAGTGGGGAGCTCCAGGTTGTGAGCCGAAAATGACTGCAGGATCTGCAGGTGAGATCAGGTGTTGAAACATGTTGAAACTTCACAACCGAATCTCCAAAAAATGACACGAAACATGAGGACAAATGAGGACAATCTGTCTGGTTCGCTGGGCAAACCGAATAAAATGGTGTCAACGGGTATGGTCATGGAAACAGCGCATCTTGAGATCTTCTGCACCCGAAACAGCGCCTGGGAAGAGATCTTTGATCAGACGCTGGAAGATCGGCATGTCCTGACCCCACAGAATCATCAGAGATTTATTCATAAATGGAGGATTTCAATCGAATAATTGCCATTAAATGATATTATAGGCTGTTAAATAATGGGTTATACCAGTACCATGTTCTACCCCGTTGTTGGGCCAACCCAATACGTTGATGATCCATGGGATCCTGAGTGGTGATCTTAGGCAGGTTGAAATCGCGAAGGGCTCGGCACAGCACGATGTTTTCGTCCGTGTCGCGTTCTTTGTTCTTCAGTGACCCAGCCTAGTGAAGCTTGTGGATGTGAAAACTGCCATCACGTTGGACTAAAGGGAATAGTTTGTTGATTTTCGCACATATAAAATGTATCTTATGAACAGATGCACAGTATAAATGGAGAGAAAATGGAAGATGCCGTACATAAAAAGACAATGTATTGTGTAAACTGTGTAAATGGAATGTATAAATCACATGTCTAGATGTCGAAACACCTGTCTCAGCAGAGACTTCACGGCTCGAAGACCCCAATCGTAGTGCATCTGCTTGCTGAGCAGCTCCTGGAGAAATCATGAGAAATCCGGGGATCTCATCGGAACTTCTTTAAATCGCAGAAATCATCTATATAAATCTACTTATTATATATATATATACATGATTATATAAGTAATATATATATATATATATAAGTAATATATAAGTAATATATAAGTAATATATAAGTAATATACAAGTACTTGGTGATACTTGGTGGGATCGAAGTTGATAGCTTTGCACTGCTTTACCCTGTTTTTGAATCTACCCTGGAGTTCCAACTGCCCCAGCTCGTCTTTGCCTTGGACAAGGAGTAGAGCGTTACAAACTTGTGGGCCAACAGCCGGGCGATCATAAAGCCCTCCGACATCAACATGTTTTCGCCTCAACACCACCAGGGAAATTTGAAGATTTGAACCACCCATCAATGAATTAATTCGTCTAAAACTTTCGACAGCCTTGAATCACTTGAACGGGACTGGATCTCAGATGACATTTCTTGGATCTTGCAGACAGTCTGATCGAAACTCTCGGCAAAGCATCCAAACCATCCGCATTTGATAGCTCTAAAAGATTTTAAATGGCATATCGCAAACATCTTTAAAGCATAATGTATTTTACCAGGTCAACCGAATATGGGGTGAAATACAACACTATCCGCTAAGCAGCTGATACTTTTGAACCAACGCTACAGAGTAGATCGATGATATATACACTACATGGTTTTACTGCAGGAGTTTTTACACCCCCCTCGGGCGAGCAGGGACGACTGCGGAGAACGAATAACCCAGAAGAGCATACCCTCGCGGGTAGCCAAATTTCTTTAGTTGGTTTTGATCATTTTTATGCAGTCTTTCAAAGGTCCCTTTAAAAAGCTCAAACCCGTAAAACCCAGCGCAGCTTTGCAAGGAAGGCACATTACCATGCCGCATCTTGCGCTATGCTACAAAAGAAAATCATCGTCTACCTGCGGTTCCAATAGATCCACCGGCCGCCGGCCTCGTCACGGTAATACCAAGCCCCACGCCAGAAACTCCATTCTCGGCGTGCACCATAGTGATCACGATTCCAACTCCAGGAGGCATCCGGGCGACCGGAGCTTGCAGCCTTTGATGTGACTCCTTTGCTTGCTGCTTTTGCAGTGGGCGGTGTCTCAGGCTCCAAGAATGGTCGCGCTCCTGCTTTGGGTGTTGGTGGTTCGGGTGCAAGAAATGGTGCATTGTTGGGGTCAACTGGGGCATCAGCGTGCGAGGCATCTGCGCGAGCAGAGCTTGAGGCGGCAGTGTCATCATGTGTGGTGACGGATGCATCAGCTTCGGCTTTGCGTTTTCGCTGTGGTGGGCGCGACCGTGGGGTCGGCCTTATGACCTCCAGGACCTCCAGCCTTTGCAGCGGCGCTCTGCTTCTCTTTGCGTTCAAGGTTTCCCCGAACCAATGGAAGATTTTCCTCATACACCTTTTCGAGGAATTCAAGAGTGCCATCAAAAGGAACTTGGACAGTGCCCTTCCAGGTCAAAAGGCCACGGAATGCGCCACGACGACCGATGTAGCTGACATATTCATCCTCTGTAAAATGTGGCGGCCGAACATGAATCCCCAGACCTTCTTCCATGTTTTGCGGAACTCAACTGGGAAACCATCAACACCTCGAGGCTGGGACATGAAAATCAACTTAGATAAGCAGTTTTCATTTTGGGCATTGGCGGCGACGCCAGCCGAGATCTGAGCTTTGGTCCTTGGGGGATCGGGGAGGTTGCCATATGCGAACATGTCGTCGAATATGCAGTCCTGCAGGTCCTTCCCCTCACCGTGGATGCGGTCGCAAAAAGTGACGTCGCTGGAGTATCTGTCTTCCACGTCCTCGTAGCCCAGCGCTTTTGCACGTCGATGCCTGTCGCGGCAGTCTTTGAGGACTGCTGATTCCACGGATGTGATTCCCCTGGGGCCCACTTCCCGGCGAAGCAGATTGGCTTGCTCATCCGTCAAGGCTGTCAGCAAGCTTCCGCTCATTTTCCCAAACATTCCGAACCCGGCGAGACTTTGCATTCGCCGTTCAAGGATGCGTGTCCTCCTGTTGGGTTTGTCGGCCTCTTTTGTATCGCCACTTTCGTCCACTGGGAGTGGCTCATATCCACGTGTGGTGCATGTCACTTGGCCACTGACGTACTCAACCTGGCAGAGGGGGCAGGAGCCCATGAAAGGTTCGCAGTACTTGGGTGCAATGTAAACACGGCGCGTCCTTGCGGGCGGCTGGTCAACTTGCATTGGGGCAGTGGCTGCATCATCATCAGTGGACTTGGCATCGGGTCGCCCCGTGCTGGTGTCATCCATTGGGTCGTCATTTGCATCATCTCGGGCAGTCAGGGTGACCGCTTTGGATTTCGGTGCTGAGGCTGATTCCGCGCCTGTCCATGAGCTGGGCTCGAGATTGCTCTCGGCGCGGGACCAAAGCACCTGTCCTTCTTCTGAGATGCTGACCAGAAACTGCGGTGGGATGCGTTCTGAACACAAAATACCATCCATTTCTGTGCGACTAAAGATGACACCAGCTTCTACTGCTTGCCGCATTGCGATTTTGACTTCGACTGGACATTTTGCTCTTAATCCAGATCGATATCCCTGTGTGCCGATACAGTGTTCTGCCATGTAGATATGGGCACGGCCACTGTTGACTGTCGCACCGCCGCCTGGGATCAGGCCGTTCTGTGCGATGCTCTTCCAGCTGCTTTTCATCGTGCGATGGAAGACAACCTCAGGAACCTCAGTCATGGCACACAGGGGCACGCCAGTGAAGGCGGCTTTTCGCTCGGGGGATACATGGTCTGAGCAATACACCATGGTTGAATTGGCATAAAGACCCCCTGCGGTTTTCAAGGCAGCTTCGGAGGGACCCTGAATTGCACGGATTTTCACAGGATAATACGGCATGCCTAGGCCATTGTCGACAGGAAAATGGGAGATCTTTGCACACAAGAATTGGAACCTACTCTTGCCGTGCTTGTCGATCTTCATTGCGGTGCCAAACAGGTTTGCGACAGTGATGAAAACATCTGGGGGCACTTCCTTGCGGAAGGCTTTGGCAAAATCCTCCAAGTCAATCCAAAGGTCTTTGTCCATTGGCACCTTGGCACAGGATCCATGCCCCCTGCAAACTTTGTTGACACGAGTTGCAAAATCAGAAAATTTCTTGTCGACACGAGTCTGGCCAGCAATGGTCTCAACGTCGGATGCCGATATCAGCTCCAGCTCATACGCCGTACCTTCAAAGAGGATACCGGGCACATCGTCCCCGTCTGCATTGGTCACCGTTGTATATTGGTATTCAGGCAAATGCTCTTCCATCCAATATGCTTTCACGTGGCCGGATGCATGTCCCTCTAAGCGCGCAGTTGCCTGCGGCTGGTACTGGCTGGATGTGGCTCTCTTGTCATCTGCGGGCTCATCCAATGGTACTGGCGCTGCTTTCGGCCGCGACTTCAACATGACCTCAGCCGTTTGGACCAGGATTGTTGCTCTGCTGGATGCAGCGGGCTCGCCGTCGCCGGCGGCCTTTGGAGGGTCATCTTTGGGAGGCTCAGCAAAAGTGCCCGAAGGCATCGTCTTGGTGTCGATGTAGTCCTCAGTGTCAGGTTGTTGAGCTTCGACGTCCTCCTTGGTGAATGACCTGCCCGTCGGCGTGATGTGTCTTCGGGACTCTCCAAAAAGCAACTTGGTGATGTTTGCACATGTCTCCTGATAGGATCTTGGCAGCTCGTCCAGGACGGCGCTCATGTTCCTTCGCAAATCATCCCATGTCTCCTAGAGGATCCAACGTTCCCCAAAGCACATCATCCACCACAAACGACACTAGTGACTTAGCAACGTTGTCGTTTGCATCAAAGAGCTTCGCATGTAGATTGCATCTACCGAAAAGAAAATAGTAAACGAAAATGAAAACGTAGACGAAAAAGAAGCTACCAAAGGCAACATGTACCAAAAGCAGCAAACTTTCAAGATTCAAATGATCTTGACTTAAGACTTCACATGCACATGCAGAAAAACAGGAAAGTGCACAGGCGAAAACGAGAACGTAGACGAAAACGAAGCTAGCAAAAGCAAAATGGAAAAAAAAAATAGCCGCAGGCGTTAAGTCTTGAAAGAGTTGTCAAGAATCTTAGAAAAGCATTGACATGCACTAGCAGAAAATCAGCACAGTGCATGGGCGAAAACGAGAACGACGAAAACGAAGCTAGCAGAGGCAAAATCAAACAAAAGGCAACAAAGCTTATAAGAGTTTGAAAGAGCTTTCAAAAATCTCACAAGGATTCACATATGCACATGCAGAAAAATAGAAAAGCGCACAGGCGAAAACGAGAACGTAGACGAAAACGAAGCTAGCAGAGGCAAAAGAGCCCAAAGGAACTTCAAAAACAACTGAAGCTTGTGGAAGCAATATACCAAAAAGAAGTATGGAGTATATAGACGTAAAAGGTTCCTAAGGCTATAGCGGCTATAGCATTGCATGTTTTGGAAAAGGAGAACCATAGCATGAAAGAAAAAAACAACGACGAAAACGACCACGCTAACGAAAACGACCACAGTGACGAAAACGACCACGGTGACGAAAACGACCACGGTGACGAAAACGACCACGGTGACGAAAACGACCACGATGACGAAAACGACCACGGTGACGAAAACGACCACGCTGACGAAAACAACCACACGGTGACGAAAACGACCACGCTGACGAAAACGACCACGCCGATCGAAAGCAAAGCATGCAAAAGATGCATGTAGAATCCTTATAGCTTGCCATAGGCATGAAAAAAGATTCTAGCAAATCTGCACGCAAAGAGAAACTCTTCAGTGCGAAGGGCCACAGAGACGAAAACGGCAACGGCAACGAAAACAAAGCTAGCATAGAAGCAGAAAGAAATAAGACATGAGGTACACACCGTCCCCGAGCACAGCTCAGAGGAAGAAAAGACACTTGCAAATCTTCTCATGCAATGCGTTTTGCAAGCAGCGTGCAGTACGCATGCTTGGGCACAGCATGGTGAAAGTGTTGGTGCATGGGCACAGCCCCTGGACAAAAAATAATCTCTTGCATAAGCTCAAACAACATGCAGTGCGCATGCTTGGGCAAGCCAAGAATGACGGCAGTGGTGCATGAGAGGCTCTTGCATCATCCTTGCTCAAATGAAGAAAATGATCCCAAAACGAATTGTACAAGCTAAACGTTTTGACACATGTTTTGAGAAGTAGCAGTTGAAGTACCTTCTAGGGGCACATTCTTTTTAAAACCACACATACCAGGCAACATAAATATTGATATGTTTATATCCTTATATGTTTATATAGAATACATTTACAACATATCATTACAAATGTAAATAGAAAAGACTATGTTATATATCTGTGTGTGTTGGAGAATACCTGCTTATATATATATCTCTCTCTCTCTCTCGTTGTGTGTGTTGGTAAAACCTAAATATGTGCATATATATATATGTATATACATATATGTGCGTGCCTATATCTATGTCTGTTTCTAAGAATGTATATGCATGTGTACATGTAAACATGTATATGAATGAAATAAATAAATATAGACACTTCCATATGTATAACCACTTCTGTAGGTTTCAGGGAACCAACGGGACCCAGGAAAAAACTGAGATCTCATAGTCTCATAGTTCCATATCTAAACATCTCTGTTGGGTTCATGGGAATTAACAGGACCAAAACAAAACCAGAGATCGCAGGGTTCCAAGAATTTACAAGACCCAAGGGAAATTTCCCACCTATACTTTGGGACCACATTGCATGGGCCATACAACCATTTTTTCTGGGAATGATCGAAAACCGCACTTGGATTCTTGTTTGGTATTCATTGGCCATGCCAAGCATTGGGGTTGAACACAAAAAACCTTATTAAACCACGGTTTTGCTGGTGAAACTGGAAGCCATGGAAAACAAATGAAAACAACACCATGACCACTGGAGGGGGTCACATGCTCGGCCTTCGCTTTTGATTTCATTGGATCAAATTCAGACCCACGATTGAGTGGGTGAAAAACCAAACCATTTTAATCCTAGTATGTATTTTGGTGGGAACCAAGAACTGAAAACTATATATATATAGACTGAAATTAATATACTTGGGAGTATGAACGTTTGATGGAGTTACCACAACAAAAATTGTTCAACATATATTCCAGAGAGAAACTTTGGAAACAGTTTGGAAATCCACAGATTTACCCACATTATTTTTCCAAGGGGAAACGTCAACCTCACTATCTGTAGTGGCCGCGGCTGCCATGCATGTGGCTGCATGACCTCTATGAAGGCACCAACCGGAAAGGGTGACAAAGCGCTGTTTCCACCCCAAAGCTGCGAAAGTAGGTTAACTGAGCATTTCTCCCAGTTTTCAAATAGAGCCTTTGGCTCATCTGGCCCCAAGTGACCCAATGGAATCTTTGATAACCAAATTCAAACCACTTTTTTAAAGAGGTGCTACCACAAAGGGTTTTAAAACCATAGCCACAGGTCCTATCCCAACAGCACTTGGTTTAAGTTCATTCGATTTGGGTCTCCGTTTTGGAATATTCCCGCAAATACATTGCGAGGCAAAGGAGGTATCTCAAAAAAAGGCGTTGGATACATGTTGCCCCATGACATCGAATGGCTATACGTTTGAGTTTTCCTAAGAAACTCTCTTCATCAAAATTCTGGAACATGGATGGATTGAGACGTGTTGTCTCAATTTCATCGGCAACGTGAAACAAGTAATGGGTCTTGCATCGTGTTTTGAACATCAACATGCGTCTTTCATAGTGGTACGATGCCAGCCACAGGTATGTTTTCAAATGAACTCTCAAGCATTCACTAGCTTCAGTCGCTTCGGACTCTGAAAACACCAGCCCTGAATTGTCCATGAGCTCCACAACCCGTTGCATTGAGTAGCAGCAGGTTCCCAACATGTTCAGAACCGGGTCCTGGGCAAACAGAAGGAATCTGATGCTAAAAAGTTTAGATAAGAAGAAACCTATTTGGGATGATATCTTCAACAAACATCTAACGTCATAAGAAGTACCTTGTGGAAACATGAAACATGACAAAACTATTCTTTAACCCACACAATAGGACAGAACAAGGAACCTCGGGGTTCTGATCTGCAAACTCCGTTGTCTCCAATGCAAGCCACCAGAGCATGACTTTGATGTGGGAAGCTTTGAACCGTGTCCCCAATTCAGCAAATGAATCAGACCCCCCAATGTTTGCCAATGTAAGGCATGGCTTGACCGGAAGATAGAACCTTTGACTGGGTTTCAAGGTATGAAGATGCATGCAAAAAGTTCCCATTTTTTCTATGCACTTACAACCCACCCGGTTTAATGGATCAAGAAATGAAAACTCATTGGCTATGAAAATCAAGGAACCCATGCATTTTGCAGGTCTCACGCATGCTTTTGTGAACGCCCGCCAGGATGTCATCCATGTCCGTTGCACCTTGCGCTTCGGCTGCAAAGCGACCGTGTTGGATCAGCACCCGAATACCTGGGAAGTATGGAATGATTGGGCATACACCCAATCAGGTAAAGATTGTTTTTGCAGGGTAAGATATGTACGTATGTATTTGCATTTAAGACATGTGGGTAAATAAATATATATATATATAATTAGATGATAGGTGTGTGTCTGTATCCCCGTACCTCTCTATACAAAGATTGATTTACACACAAACATGCTTGTGTGTAAAATGGAATTTCAACCTGTGAGTAAACTATATTGCCAAGCGACCACTGGCACACAAGTCTCGGGCAGTTCCGAGGTAAACATGATGCAGCCAGTCATGGGAGATTGTGAGGAAATTGAACCCAGCTATTTTTTCCCATGGGGACATCCATCTCCTGTCGAGAACCTGGTAAGTTTCATGGCTGATGTTCGTCATACCCCAAGCCGCAGTAGGACCCACATTCCTGTAGTCCATAGGTGTTGGGCATCTATCCCCCTGCACTGCCAAGCATCTATCGCAAAACCTGGGAGGATGGGCGATTGAGGTAAGGTAAAACCAGGATCCCATGTAATTTTGAAAACCCCAGCGAGCTTTGAACTTTTTCTGGTGGAAATTGTTCCAGACACACCAAATAAGTTTAAACCAAGAAACAGATTGCATTTGTACCACCTTTGCAAGTTATGCATCTGATGGCGAGCTTTCAGATCTGCTTTGAACGATACATAGCATGCCCTTAGATCGGCCACAAGCCCACAAAATTGTAAACATGTTTGATCCGATCATGATAAAAACCATCCCCCTATTGTAAACCACCATGGGAAATATTTAACTAGGCTTACCATGGATTCCCACATCACATGAGCCATTCCATTTCGAGGAAAGCAACACAGAAAGGTTTTGTAATAATAAGGGGCTGGGAATCCTCCACCCGTTGGCCAAATCTTTGCCCCTTTGTTTGAAGCGAGTTGTCCCTGCACTGAATGCTTCCCCTCGGAACCCATTGTGAGGCCATTTGCCTTGGCCTGCAAAATCCATTGACCATGCAGTCAGTTCTGCGATGTGCTTGTGCACCTCGTCTCGAACCTGTGGTTTCGGGGCAGGGAAAAAATGTGGCAGGGTATAGACGGTCTTTTTTATTTCTGGTCATATAATGGGAACAATGGTGAGAAACCATAAAACACAAAACCTGAAACACGGTGAGTAACAGCTGATTTTCTCATCCATCTTTCAGGAATCACAGCGATGGGGAAACGACTCATGAGAACGTCCTTGATGGATCCTTCAGTGGAGAAAATTGAGCTCCAAGACCACACGAAATATTCGTCTTCCTTGTAGAATTCACACCCGTCACCATGGATATGGATGCCTATCAACTTTTCCCAATTTCCATCACTGATGATCGGGTGTTTTGCCCAAGGGTCCAAATTGGAAACATGTTGCCAGAAGGCCACACGATCTTCATCTGAATGGTGCCCCAACATGATGCTGTCAAAGACATACTTGCATGATGAAGACATCGCAGCAATCACTTCATGGGGAAGCAAAACTCGGATGGCTGTAGGTCGAGCGTTGTTGTTGCACCCATCTACCTCAATGGAAGCTGACAACAGTATAAAACTATGTTGAGAGTGTCATGCAACAGATTGCAAACATTGATTACGATTAAGATGAAACTTTTGGCACCCCAGTCCTGCAGAGGAACTGATATGCTGTAGGTTTGGAGTGAAAACCCCCACAGATTAGACATCCATCTATGGAGGTCCCTCTCCTGATTCCCAGCATGGCTGCCAGACGTGCCAAGGCTGGCAAAAGCCTCAAGCGCTTCGTTTGGAAGCATGTGGTCATCAACCTGGGAGGCCGGGCTTAATCTGGGTCAATTTTGGACATGTGAACCAGACCGAATCCCTATTGTATAGGAAAAGAAAACTTACTTTTCTCAATTTGGGCTAGGATACTACACTCCTAGCAATGTCAGCTGCAGCTGAAATGGATATCTGACCTCTACCAATCAAGTCGGCAAACTTCGACACAGTTTTCGATTCTGTCAAATCTTCAAGTCGCCTTCGTTTCCTGACGGCCAGAGAGAACATTTGAACATTCAGAGATGCCCGTACGAGAAGGAATTTGAAATCAATTTCAAAACTTTTCAGACCCTCGGTTTCCAAGATGCTGGCAGCACTGTGTTGTCAGCCTATTGCAGGTCTCGCCTTGCAGACCCACTGCTGCAGGAGCTTAAGCCTGTCAGTGCTGTGGGAAGGGTATATACTCTCTGTCTGTAGGGGAATCAATATGCCGTGGAGTAGTCATGAAAGACATCGAAATTCTGAAATAAAGATGACGAACCCTTATGCTGTGGAGTGGTCATGAAAGACATCAAAATTCTGAAAAAAGGATGACGAACCCTTAAGTCATGTTTTCCGTTGGATCGCGCGTTTTTTTCTCTCATCGGTCCATGACGTGTCAAAGTCTTGTCATTTGGATGGCAGCTTGGAACCCCGGTACGATCACAGCATGCAATCGGCTTATGGGCCCGAATCACGGCAATCCCCAGGGTCAAAACGGATGCAAATGTTCATCACTTGCAACACCCCCCAAATGAGAGCCCCATCTCTCACAGAGCTTACTTCTTCTCCTTTTTCGCTTTGGCCTTTCCCTTTCCCTTCTTGCTCTTCGACGGTTTCAAGAAGGCATCAGCAGCTGCCTGCAGCACATGGAACATTTGAAAAGGAAACAATTAAGTACCAGGTGCTCAAAAACACAGGCTCTTTGAACGCATGACATGCGAATGGTTTAATCTGCAAATGGGACTGGATGTGAAAGGGCGCCTTCCCATTGTCCATGATGATCTTGTTTCTAGGACCAAAATTATATCTTTTAAAACATGAGCCCCAGCAGGCGCCTGAGCTTTGGCACCAAATGCTTCCAACTCAGTAGCTTTCTTCAGTAGGCTTCTCAGCTTCTTGTCTTCAGCCTGTTGGGAAACAGCCGTAGACAACTGTTGGTAAAGATCCTCCAGCTTCTTGGCATGATCCAAGAGTTGCCCACTCAACTCCTTGGCATACTCCATGGTCTGAAGCTTGATTGATGCAGTACGTGCATCAGCAGCATCTTTCAAAAGTGTTGGCAAAACGCTGGATGCTTTCTGCGTCCATGTCTGGGGTTCCACAGGCTCTGACTTGTTCTCAGGCTTTGAAGCAGCCTTTGGCTTGGGTGCTGCTTGCACCTGCCAAAGCAATGACTTTTTCTGACGAAGATGGTAAGCTCAAAATGTATATATTTTTCTGAATGCACTGGACTCTCATACTGCAATGATTCAAATCCACCCCATGTTCAATAAATCATATCCCGGTTTCACACCAAACAAATATGATGATGTCTGTTTGTGGAAATGCAATTCTTCGTGTTGTGTGCATAGATTGTCACCTTGGGTTGGTTTTCACAAGAACAAGTCTTCAACAATGGACTTGCAATTGGATTTGTTGGATTGAATCGTCACCTGTAAGCCAACCCAAAAGAACACCCCCCATCCATGGATGGCCTTGTCAATCGCATCCAGGAGTGCCTTGTTTCCAGCAGTCGTCGCCGTGGTGACCTGTGGAAGTGCACCACTTCGCATGAGGCCCGATTCGCCGTCAGTGAGTGCAGCTCGAAGTTCGGGGTCCACGTCTACGGAAGCTGAAAGCTTTGAACTTTCAGCGGTGGTTTCCTTTCTCTCAAACTTGGCACCCTCCCTGACATAAAACCAAGTCTCCTTGGCAAAGGAAGGCATTGAGATGACTTATATACATTTTTGGGATATAAGACTGGTAGACCATGGGTGGTATGAACTGATCATCATTTATTCATCACTATGCTATGCACAAAATGGGAGATAGTAGAACCACGTCTCCATGAAGAAGGCTTGACTGGTATAAAAGATTTCAAAAATCCATGGGTAGAGCCCGGATAGTTTGAGCTGATCATCTTCGATCGGCTTTTGTTGGAAGATACTTGGGACATGTAGCATCGGCTTTATTAATTAGTTTACATGTCAGGGCAGAAAGGTTCTTGGAGCATACCATAGGGGGTTCTTTGAACTGGAGGTAATGGATACCGGTTGAGTTCAGCCACGGTTCATCTTGATCTCCTGGGAAGTCTGGGTCCTCGTAGTAGAGCCCTTGGGAAATTCTGGTCTTGCACAGGGCTTCGTATTTCTCCTGTGAGTACCGCTGTTTGATAGTCTTGCCCTGCTCAGCTCGCCATCCTCGTGTCGAAATGTTCTCCTGAGTCTGCCGGCGCTCCACCTCCAATGCACACTTCTGCCAATCCTGCTGGGAGTCAAGCCATAGCCCAAACAAGTCCTGCTTCTGCGAGATGAACATACTGTTCAAAGCTATGGGCATCCTTGACTTGGCCTGACGGTTGAACACGTCCCACTCCCTTTTGTTTGTCATGGAATTGCGCACCGCTGCCACCTGGTGCTGTGATTCCTTCACAACAGGGACCAGTGCGTGCTGGCTGATATCTGGCTTCTTCTCTTCCTTCTCCTTCTCTGCCTTCTGTTCTTGGTTGTCCTCCACCTCCGCTGTCTTCCCTGTCCCCTTAGAGACACTTCCATCATCGTCCTCGTCCTCTTCCTCTGAGAGCTCTTCGCCATCTAAGTCTTCACTGTCTTCTGAACTTGACTCACCCTCTTCTTGGTCTGCATCCGTCTGGTCTTCTTCTTCTTCTTCTGATCCTTCCTGACCTTCTGATTCACTGACAGACCCTTCGTCTGAGTCACTGTCCTTCTCCGTCACCTGTTGGGCACCTGGCAGCATCAGGTTTTCCAAGTCTGTTGCAGGGCAGTAACTGTCATCCTCTTCACCCAGCTCTGAAGGTGCCAGGTGTGCAGCGAGTTCCTGGAACTTCTGCAAGGCTTTCTCCTTCGTTGACATCTTGGCATCAGGTGGGGGCGGTGAGGCATCTCTCTTTGCTTTCTTCTCAGGCATGGTGAAGATATGTTCAATGCTAGCCTTTTGGGCCTCAGTGAACTTGATGGGTGGATCCTTGTTTTTCTTCGACTTCTCAGATGCTCCACTTTTGTCTTGATTCTTCTTGTTCTTCGTGGTCTCTTTCACCTTGCTCTGTGTCTCATCTCTGCCTGTCTTGTCTTTCTGCTTCGGCTCCTTGACTTTCTTGTCTTTGCACTTTTTGTCTCTGCACTTCTCCTGGTCTTTGGTCTTCTGCTTACTCTTCTCCTGGTCATCCTTGCACTTTCCCGGTTTCTTTTTCAACTTCTTGTCTTTCTTCACCTTCTTAATCGATGCCTCTTCTGGGTTCACTTTTCTCGACTTCCTCTCAGCGACAGCATCTTTCAACTCAGTCTTCAAGCTTTTGGCCGTACAGGTACTGTCACTCTTAGCTGTGGCTGTAGACCTAGATCTTTCCCTCTCTGTACCCTTTGGCTTGCGAAGTGCCGATGGCCTTGAGCTTGAAGCACTGGTCATGGACTTTGACCAAATCCTTTTCCTTGGGGGTGTACTCAAGGGTCCCAAGGGAGGCATGTGGGCCTACAGCCCAACCAAAGCGAAATGAGCCAAAATGTTCTTGGAGAGTTTGAAATGGATTTTTTGACATTTCTACAATGCGCATGTTTTCGCTCCATTTCACACTAATCTCGATGCATTTCACACTAGTGTTTTGAATCCAAAAGTTTGGAAAAAATATCCTTTGGGGGCATTTTCATTTTCCTGGATGGTATTGAGCAATCGAATCTAGACAATACTGTTTTGAACCCACAAATTTGGGACTTGAACTTCACTGGCGCCGATTGCAGGCCTTCGATGCCGCAGAATCTCTTCAAGTTGAGGTGTGGCATGTCCTGGAACGCATGGGTGATGACTTCCAAGGGTCAATGGGCCAAGGGTTTCTATTTATAATCAACAGAATTGAAATTCCCAAGTAAAACCAAGAGAAGACGGACCACATATTTCCAGAGACAATCAAACATGATGAAACCAAACAGCATAAGGAGAGAATTCCTAAATTAAAGGACTGATGGACCCTATGTTTGAAGAGTTGCAGCTGGATTGAAGGGTTGGTCCTGTTTAGCCCTAGGAGTCATGCATTTTGACACCGAGATTTTTCCCATCCAAATGCTGCAGTCAGTTGGCCATGTGGATAATCCAGACACGACCCGATAACAAATTTGCTGAAGCCCTGACATTGTCATTTGCTTGCCAGGTAATCAACAATTGGCTGCAAATCTGCCCCTGCAATCCAGGCCCGGTTGACACGGGAGCCGTTGTTAAGCTCACCGGGGTTGCGCAGGGCATCCCTCAAGAAACTGTAAGCCTTGCGACGAAGCTTCTTCTGGAACTTTGTCCTGGTCTTTGGCAAAGCTGTTCCAAACCTGATGTGGTGCAAGGTCATACCCCGGATGATTTGGATCAGTTGGTTTCAACAGAAATTATTCTATAATGGTACACTATACTATAGGTGGTATTGTTGAGGCATACACATTTGTGTTCATGATCTTTGCTTGGGCTGAGATCAAAAAACCTGGGGAGAAAGCTGGTCCCAAATTGGAGCCCACAGTGAGGTCAAAGTAAACCAAACTCCTACGAATGAATTTTTCAAATTAGAGTTCAAAGACTGATATCATTTTGTCGGGGTTCGATAGAGATCTGAGTAAACCAATCTCTTTGGAAGAAAGGGATGTTTAGAAAGACTGATATCATTTTGTCGGGGCTCGATAGAGATCTGAGTAAACCAATCTCTTTGGAAGAAAGGGATGTTTAGAGCTGCCCCAAAATTGGAGCCCACAACCTTTCTGTTGCGTTTTCTCCCATAACAAATAAAGTTGTTTAGGGCTGCCCCAAAATAATACAGTAGAGGCACCCTGCTGGATAGGCTTGGGATGCTTTCAAATGACGACCTCCAGTAAATCGCCGCTGGCCCTCACCATTGTAGTAATGACGCACCATCTCCCGTTGTTGTAACCTGGGTTGGACTTCGTGCTCAGCAATGTAATCGATTTCGGTATTGCCTCAGTAAGCAAAATCAATGGGAACCAAGCATAACCAAACATTATGATTAGATAGCCCTGCTACCTTTCACCAACTTTTCCATTTTCAAACCAAAACACAGTATGCTAGGCGCAAACAAGTCTCTGGAATATAGATAAGTCTTTTTATCTGTTGGTCCACCAAATTTGGACATCGAAACCAACATCTTCCGCATTCCAAGCAGTTTGATTACAGCCTGGAATAATGGATGCCACTCCATCACTGAGCTCATGGGTTGCTCCAATATCCACCACACTTTTTTTGATGCCGCCAGCACTATTAGAAACAGGGCTCTCGCACATAGGAGGTTTCCAAGTCTCACACATTCTGAATCTGGCCTTCCCAATGGCTTCTCTCGTGATCTAAACGTCGACCCCCTCGACCTTGGGTAGGACGAAAGGGCTTTGAGAAAAAAAACAATTGCAAACATAGAGATCTCCAATATATTTGGGCAAATGTTGATATCTTCAGGTGTTTTCTTTACATTTTGATGAAACACAAAATACCATGAAATACCCCGGTCTTGAACAGTATATAGGGGTGTTTCCTGATAAATCGCAGTACCCATTGAAAATTTCATAATTGGAATCAGGGGACACGATCACGAAAGTACTGCACACCGGTGCAGATAGGTGTCCAGATCCGGGTTTCAAATTGCATACTGCCCACATGGCATTGCAGAAACCCTGGGGTGTGGCCAAGTCCATCAGCTTCCCATCCAATTCCAGGTCGAATGGCATGGCCTCACGGCCTTCCTTGGCGCCAGCAAGGGCCCCCAGACAGAGGTAATCCCAGTATATCGTATCACTACCATTGGTGTTGACTTTGGGGGGCAGCATGTACCCATCCTGAAACATATCCCACGCAACCCAAGTGGGAATTTGCCACCTTCAAGATGCCATGCAGGATTCAGCAACCTAAAACATTCGGTTTATATCAACCTAACTTCATGCCACCACAATATACAACCTTATTGCGTTACAGACCCCACACCAAATAGGTGTCACAATTCGGTTGAGCTTCGCTCCATTCACCCTTGGTCACACTCATCTTCCCACTGAATGCCTCGAAGTGATCCAGCGGCTTGTTGAATTCCAAGCCGGGAACTTGGAACAGCAGGGACAGGACCGTAGCAAAGACCTCGTTGGACGCATGGGGTTACATGTATATAGATATATATATATATATATATATATCTATCTATATATATATATATCTATATACATATGTATATACACTGTATACTATACATTGACAAGAGGTCTATATCATTATATAGTATAGTGACCCTGCCTCCTTTATTGATCCTTTTGCCCAATTGGTCGATCGAAATTGTGACAAGTGGCAACCGGGGCGTGGATCTTCTTCAGGCCAGCCAGCATCCACGACCGCTGCTTCGCTTTCCAAGACCGAGGGAATTTGGATGGGGCTCCATTGGTATCACTGGGCTTGAAGGGCATCCCATGTCGAAGGGACTTGACACGGGTCCGAGTCGTCTCCTTTTTGGTTCCCTTTCCCATGTCTGATGGACGCACTACACTCACAAAAATTGAGCCTGATGTGCCATTGCGAGTTGAACATGTTTTTAAGTACATCCAACATGTGTGGCTGTGAGTTAGGCCAGAGAACATTGGTGAATCAGTTTTTTGCTTCCCTCAATTGATTAAAGTTTCGGTTTGTGTCTCTCACCCATGCACTCAATACCACATCCCTTGAAAGTCCTTGGACAGGATCGCCACGGGCTTTTGGCTGGAGCAGCTGTACCTGGATCAGGCTTGAACTGACCCGGGAAAATGGCCACAAGGGTTTCGTCGATGTTGGGGAATATACTGCATCATAAGTTGTTTGTCATAATGAGAGAGAGAGATATATATATATATAATCTGTCAAATTTGAGAGATCGATTGAAGCATTTCAAATAGGCAATATGACGTAATAAATTCCGATTGCAACAGGCCTTTTTGGAGACACCGGCGCATGCATTGCCAAATGTCAGACAGCATGCTTTGGATCAAACCCTAATCACCTACCGCTACACCAAACACCATCACCTCAAATCTAAGAAGTGTGTGCTTGGCAGCAAACCCACGTAAACTAGATCCCATGTCTGCTGATAGACATGTGTAGCCATGAACTTTGAAATTGCACTGACACAGTGCATACTCCTCAAAAGCCACTTCGGCGCTTTGCCTCACTCCAAGCATCAGCAACAGTTGGAAACTTTGACCACGTTACCTGTCCCGTTCGGGAATCAGGGTTGCCACATGTGCGTTTCACCACGAATGCCCGATTGCGAAGTAAGACTTCCACTGCCTTAGCTATACATGGGGTAAATTACCATGGGAGAGTGACACATTGAAGCTCCTAAAAGAAAACTAGTGGGCTGATGGGAGATAAGTTTATTCTTGAACCAGATTGCATGGTTCAAACATGTTGGTTTGGAATCTGGAACGAACATGAATGGTTGAAAGTTCAAAAGACATGGATGAACTGATTGCCATCGAAAATCTGCCCCCGTCTTCGAAACAAGTGTATATCCATGCTTTCCTTGATGGGAATGGCCAGAGCGTGGTCGTGCTTCATGGGGAACCGACAACTGGTCTAGGTTGTATTCCTTGAATGTAGACAGTGGGTCGCCACCGTCGTCACCTGCCATCTTGTCTGCCGCTTTGTTGGCAGCCATCTTTTTCACCTAAGTAGGACAAAGGGCAGCTGTTTTTTTGGCTTCACTAATTTGATGGTCACCCCAATCCATACTCCTGGACTATGAGGATCCCTTGAAAACGTTTTTACAAAAGACACAACCATATTTGTGATAAGATTTACCCAATTTGGGGCTGGAGATAACCAAGTACTTGAATAAATTGTCTGAACCATCAGTTTAGTATCCGTCTGGGTGCCAACGACCGGTGGAGGCGTTGACGTGACAGCTTTGATGACGAGATCTGCATTTTTGGGGCGCTTGGCAAGAGGCGTGACCACGAGATCATGTTCTGAGCCCCCCCGTTGCGACCTCTTACGATCTTGGGGACAATCACCATACTGAACCTGCACAGAAGAAATCGCTGTTTGGATTGGGAAAAGAAGGTATGTTTAATGAGTCGATGACATGTGTTTCGAAAGATATGGCACCACATGGTTTCGACACGTTTTGAGTTTTGACTGTACCTGACTATATAATTGGATCCAATTGAGATGTTCTGTCAAATAGGGGTTCTTTAACCTAGTTTACCTTTAGGACCTAAAAGTATGTAATCACTGTGAAAACAAAATGGTTTTGCAGTCAACACGACAAACCAGCCTCCATGGAGTCAGTGGCTGCTGCAAACGCTGCGCTGGAGTCCTGGGAGACAGAGAACCCAGAGAACCGAACAACATTGAACATGTCAAAAATGTTTGCGACATGGAACTGTGTTCAGCGCAGAGTTAAAGATTTTTACAGTGCATGGACAGGATACCATGTAAGCATTTAGCATTCCATGAAAAACCGGCAATAC